TTTTTTAAGAGTGGTTCTCGGAGGAGCTTAGTTCTCGGAGTAAATGCTGATGAGCCGAGAAGCCGCTGAGATAATATTACTTTGTAATTACTTTTTTAGCTGAAGTTGTTTAGCCAGCTCCAAGTCATTAATGAAAGTTGGCGTCCAAGCACCTGATTTACGATTCTGTGCCGGCCCGGGGTCAGCAGAGGTGGTCTCTTTCCATCTGAATCTGCTCGGTGTAGGAAACAAAATAGGTTGTTTATTATTTTGGAGAGCAATTTTCTCTGAAAGGAGGAGTTTTATTTTTGCGCGCAATATTCCACCTCTTTATCGCAGACTCTTCAGAAAGCCGGTCTTAACAAAATAAAAAAAAGCGCAAGATTAAAGGGTAACTTCTAAATTGGAAGCGCCAGATGAGTATGCTGAGCAGATGGGAATCTTCCACTTTTAATATGAGCAACAATTAATGAAAACATCCGTTTTATTACCGAAGCCGATCTGTTCTCTTTAAACACGAGCGAGACTTCCGACTTTCCACGCCTGGGCGCGGGCTCGGCACGGCTCTCCCCGCACAGAGAGATGTGCGAGCGCCGAGGGGCGGTGGCAGAGGGGACAGAGGGGCTCAGGGAGCCTGGCTCTGCCCTTGTCCCCAGCGTGGGCAGCCTCCCCGCGGGGGGATCGGCGAGCTGCCGCAGACGTGAGGCGCTTGGAGCCCGCGGTGCGCGGCCGTGGCTCCCTCTGGCCGCTGGCAGGGACCCGGCGGAGGCTCCCGCTAACCCCGCTGTGCTCTCTCCGCCAGGTTACAGCACCGTGGCCTTTGACGGCACCCCCAGCTACGGCCACACGCCGTCCCACCCCGCCGCTCAGTTCACCAACCACTCCTTCAAACACGAGGACCCCATCAGCCAGCAGCCCTCCCTAGGTAATTTCTGCTTCCGAAGGGCTCTGTCGGGGGGCTGGCGAGCCGCAGGGACCCGCCCCAAGCCCCCGCAGCCTGGCACAGAGCCGCCCGGTGCTGCAGGACGGGGCCCTGGAGACCCCTTCAAGCGGAGGGGTGGCCGCTCGCCGCAAGGGTTAATTAACTCTTTGCTGCTCTCTCCGCAGGGGACCAGCAGTACTCGGTGCCTCCCCCGGTGTACGGCTGTCACACGCCGACCGACAGCTGCACGGGCAGCCAGGCGCTGCTCCTCCGGACGCCCTACAACAGGTACCTCGGCCGGCAGGGAGCTTTGCTTGCTCGCCTTGTGCGCGGGTTTCTGCTGCGATGCGCTCTCTCCCCCGCATGCCGTTCGAGCAGCTTTTCCTTTATGCAAGAAAACAGATTTATTCTTTCCCTTCTCAAAAAAAAAACCAAAACAAACAAACAAACAAAACCATAAAAAACCAAAAAACCCGCAACAAACCAAAAAAAGCCATTAAAGCCAAACCAAGACAAAACACCCCCCCCCAAAAAAAAAAAAAAAAAAAAAAAAAAGAAAATTCACACGTAAAAACCAAACCACACCAAGGCAAAACTGCCCCAACCCCCCCAACAAACAAACAAGCAGAAAGCCAACAAAAGCAAAGAGACTAACCAAAAAAACCCGAACAAAATGACATCTCCAAACCCCCACAAAACGAAAAAAAGATGCGGCTCCTTCCATCGCGGGCCGCGCTGTGTCTCGGAGGTTTCCCGGCCGGCTCGCCCTCCCGAGCCGGGCTTGGGGCCCGGCAGCGCCGCTCGGCTCCGGCAGAGCATCCCGGCGGGGCCGCGCTCCGGCAGCAGGTGCGGCCGCCTCGGGGAAACGGGAGCCGGGCTCGCCGCGCTCCTTGGGCCTGTCCCGTAGCCCGCCGGTGCAATGAATTTGGGGTTTGCCCTTAACCGCAGCGGGGGGAAGCGCTTGGGGCAGCCCGGTGAGCCCGACGCCTCCTCTCCGGTCCTGGCTCTCGGGGTCCCCGCAGCCCCGGAGCCCTTGCCCGAGGCCGGGAAGGTGTGGGAGTGCCGGCTGGCGAGCAGCAGCCATGGGCACAGCGCGGTACAGGCAACTAAAACTCAGCTCCGTCCAAGGGCTGCGTCTCGCAGGCCAAGAGCAGTTCCGTGGCTCCCAGGAGCGATGGGAACTGGCCTGCATGGTGGCTATTTATTGAAATCGGGGCAATAAACCTATCGGATTTCCTTGCTGGGGGAAAGGTGCGCCTGGAACTTTGCTGCAAGCAACGAAATCTCTTTGCCAATAGACGGGCCCGTGGCAAGAGCAGCTTCCCGGTTGGTTTTATTATTTTTTTTTCGGTCTGACATGGGGGCTGGGCGTTGGAGTTTTACAGCGTGCTTAGTGAGTAAAAGAAGTTCCCCAAAATTTATTCCTCAACTTTTTGTGAACTTGGAGCCAGTCCCGTATCTTGGAGTTGCTAAGTAACTCTCGCACACAAAACAATGTGCCTCTGCGAAGGAAGCCGCGAGCGGCTCCTCTTGTAGGCTAGTCGTATCACCTCAGATTAATCGACACTGGACGTGAGACAACAAAATTCTGTCACTTCCAGAAGCCACTTCGCTAATGAACGTGAGTTGACGTCAAGGGAAGGAGGGAATGAGGTAATGAAGGAAGGAAAGAAGCCTATCCAGAGAGATTAGCTCGCAGAATAATTGGCGGGGCGAACTCCTGCGCTGAAGAGACAGAGATTGCTCCCCGCGCAGGGAAATCTATAAATATGGTTTGGAGGAGGCTTGGGGAGGGCAGCTCCGAGCGGCCGCGGGCAGCCGCCGCCTTCCCCAGTCCCCCTGGGCCCCGGGGCTCGCCCTCGCCCCGCTCCTGGAAGCGGCAGCGCCTGCAGGTGTGAATCCGATAGGAGAATGCTGATAGTGTCGAGAGCTCTCTCTTCCATGTGCCTCCGCTGAGGCAGGGGTGAGGACAGAGGTCGCCTTCCTAAGGCGGCCACCTCCCGCCCAGCGCTTGGGGACCCGCACCCGGCGCGGGTGGGCAGCGCTGCGCCACGGGGAGCGATTTCCTCCCGACCTCAGCCTTGATCCTGCCCTGCTCCCTGGGAGGTTTACGGCTCACTCCAGTAAGATAAGGATTTAAGCCTTTAAACCTCTCAGGAGCCAATACTGATGTGTGGGGGTGTAAGCGAGGCAGCGCTTGTTCCACGTCGGGGGCAGCCCCAGCCGTACAAATCCTGCTCCCGCAGCGAGGCCCGCGCAGGTGGCGGAGCTCGGCGCGGCCTCTCCTTGTCCCTTGTTGAACACGTTCAAAACCGCCTGGAAAATGTGGTCAGGAAAGCGGATGAGTCGTTGCGGTACAGAAACGGGCGGGACTCATTTGCCACATCGCCAATGCCCTGAAAACAACCGCGCTGTCCTTATCCATTCATCTAGATTTGGCAAAATGGCGATTATTTATGATTTTTTTTTTTTTCAAGACCGTATTTATTCCGCACCTCCGTCTTGAAGATTTATTTTGTTTTTCGCAGTTCAGGTCAAGTTCGACAGCTCTTGCTTCGTCAGGTGATTGCTCGGCTGCCACATCCGAGTGCCGGAGCAGGCGATCATGCCCACGCCCGCTGCGCGCCCGGTGGCGCGGGGCGCTCCGGGAGCGCTCGGGGGACGGTGCTCAGCCCCGGAATGGGGGATTTGTGGTCCCCACACTGGCTGGGGACAACAGGAGCATCCGTTCGCCTTTAGCAGCGGACAGGGAGGGATTGTGGTGGAGAAGACGAGGTGGGGAATGGGAGATGGTGTTGCCTCTATCCCCGGCGGGGTGCGGCGGCCGGTGTTTCCTTGCACCGCCTCCTCTCTGCGTCTCCCGGGGCGCCTGGGTAGCGCTGGTTTGTGGTCCCTCGCCCACTCACCCCAGCCGAAGCTGCGGGTCCGCTCCGCCTTGCAGCGCCTCGGAGGGACGGCCATCCCTCCGGCTCCGCCGCGTCCAGCAGGACCCGAGGGGCGATGCTTCGGCGGGCGGAGGTGGAGGGACAGAGCAGGGGGAGAGGATGCAGTGGGGGTCACCTCCACCCGATGCTCCCGCTTCCCCCTCATCGCCATCTCTCCAGCAGGGTGCGAGGGACTCTTCCGGCTCCCTCCGGAGCCCGGCCCCAGCCCGGGTCGCGAGTGGGCGTGGGCAGGAGGGTCCAGCCCGTTTGCAGTGCGGAGGCACTCGGGGGTCAAGCGCCTCTCCTTCTCTCCCGGCAAAGTCGGGGAAAAAAAAAAAAAAACGGTTGGAAGATCGTAGTTCTTAGGCTGGGAGCAAAACTGTCTCTGAAATCCCTCGCCCCGGCCACTGCTTGCTCTCTGTTTATGGCCCGGCCCGCTGCCTGTGGCTGGTAGCTGGACACGGGTGACAAACGCGCGCACATCGCAAGCAAGGGTTTGTGGGTCCATTAAAATGGTGATGTGAACTTTTCTACCTCGCGCTGTTAAATGTAGTAAACATGCTCGATGTTGAAAATTTACTGTGAGTCACACTTGCAAAGACTTTAAAAGTGGAGGAGTCTCGGTTCGGATTATAGCTCTTTCTGTGCAGAGGTCAAGAACTCGGTAATACTGCAGTGCAGGCCAAAACAAACTCTATATGATCTACTACTGGTTTCCTTTTAAGTTCCCTTTTTGCTCAGCGTTGACTTCCTTTTATTTCACTCCAACTTACATTAATCCCCGTTGTAGAAATGTCCCCTCCCCCCTTCCTCTCGTTTCTCTTTAAAAGCATCTTTGTAATGAAAATAAGTTATTTTTAGTGTCTTCTTTGTGGCCGCTCGAAGGGCCAAGGATTCAGATTGGAATCAGCGCAGGCAAATCCCTGGAGACCTTGCTTTCCTCCTCCTCATTCAAACCCCATCAAAAGCCGAGATTTTGAGCGGAGTTGTTTGGTTCCATGAGATCATCTCACGGTACCGTCAATAATAAACCACGGCGAGGTGTAAATGGCGCTAGGGACGTCCTGTTCTCCGTCACGTGTCAGATGTGAGATGTTTAATCCGAGACTGTCCGGTGGCCCCCGGGCAAGCGGCGACCGGACGGGCCGTTCTTACCTCCGGGCTTAAGGGGCGCGACGCCCGGCGGTGTCCACCTGCCTCCCGCCCAGAGCCGGTTTAGCCAAAGCTCCGGCAATTCCCTCCGGCTTTTTCGAGGTGAGAACCTCGCAGCTCCGTGGCTCAGCACAGAAATGTCTCCCCTTGGCCGCTGTCGGCTGCAGAGATGGCTCAGACCCCACGTGCAGCCCGTGGCAAGGGGTGCGGGTGCCGCTCCGTGGGCACCCCGGCGCCGGGGCGCGGCTCACTCGGGACGTGCCCGGAGTCCGGAACGCGGCCCGGCTCGGCTCCGCCGCCGCCCGGGTTGCTGTGGGGCCCGGGCCGAGCCGGGCACCTTCTCCCCCCGCACTCAGTCCCCGGCTCCAGCCCCCCGCAGCAGGAGGACAAGGTGGGGCGAGGGCTCAGGGTCTCTCCCCGTTCAGGGACACCAAACGGGGCAGACAGAGCGGGGTGTAGCGCAAATAGCGGAGCTCTGCTCCCATCCCCTCTCGCAGCGCTTCCCAGGACGCGCAGCCTGCCCCAGAGCCACTCCGGGCCCCCTTCGGAGGCTGGAGGCAGCTCGGGCTCCGCCGGGGAGCCGCGGCCGGCGCTGAGGAGCCGGGAGCGGAGCCGGGGAGCGCCTCTGGCCGGGCGGGCGCCCCGAGAGCGGCGGCGGCGCCGGGGCGCCGCGGCTCGGACACTGTCACCCAAGGGCGGCACGGAATACAGTGGCCGCGAGCTGTGACAAGATGAATAAGTGTATTGCTTTATGAAAAAGCAAAGGAGGGGAAAAAGTGGATATTGTGGGGGAGGCTCTTATAAATGAACTGTCAAGGGAAAGAAAGTTAAAGGGAAATCTCCTGCTGTAAATGCATCGGGCGGGCACTTCTAATAAAAATCAGGGTCCTGGAGGAATTAATTACAGCAGCATTACAGGAAGAATTCGTGGAATTGCAATACGTAGTTGGCACAGACCAGCACGGACTGCTATTGCAAATGGGGAAACTGCAGGAGAGTTTAACAATTCCTGAGCTGATATGCAGGACATTGTAGTAGCATAATAGCACTTCAGACACACTAATGAATAATAGCATCCAGTGATACTGACAAATGATATTACGCATACTTCGAGATTGAAGTCACTTAATTTGTTTTTATATGCAAAAGCTTCCCACTAGATTCTGGCTTTTTTAGGTCGCTTCTACCTGCCACGAAAAAAAAATTAAAAAAAGAAAAAAAAAAAAGAAAAAAATGCCGTCTCCTAGAAACAAAACGATATAAATTCACCGCGTAAATCCAGCGAATTTAGGTGTAATTAATCAGCGGGGAGACTTGCGTTTATTGTGAGCGGCGGTTCCCCGGCATCCATCACCCCGCCCGCCTGAGGGGCGGGGGGCTCGCACCGCGCCCTCGCTCGCCGGGAGCTGCGCTGCGGGGAGAGCCCGGCCCGGGGGAGCCTGCCCGGGCCGCGGCACCTCCTCGGCCCCGCGGGGACCTGTCCTGCCGGGAGAGCGCTCCCGGGGCTCGGCGAGGCTCCGTGCCCGCCTCCCGCCGCCCTCAGCGCCGCCCGCGTTCGCCGCTGCGAGCGGAGAGCGGAGCGGGGAAGCCGCGGCTGCAGCCGGGCTGCCCGCGGTGTGCAGCGGCGGGGAAAGAGCCTGATCCAGCGGCGAGCTTCGTTTATCGCCCAGCCACTCCATTTTTCTCCTGCTTGTCAAGCCCCTCGGTGTAGCAACATCCATCACGAGTCACGATAGCTGTTTCACTCCATTACCCACGTGGTCTCTCACGCTCCTGGTTAAAACAGTTAGCAGATTTGACTTTTTAAAACAAATAATCCTTTGCGTTACCCCGCCGGGCTGCTTGTATTCGTTTCATTCATTTCAATGTGTCAATATCGGATATTATTTTTCGGGAAGGAAAAAGTTTTATGTTTCTATTTCCAGCTCTGTACAAATCGTCACACTTTCACATTCAAAGTGTCTTTTCCAGCGACAGATTTTCTTTTCTTTTATTTCCTTTTATTTTTAAAAACTCATAATGCATCGAAAAAGATGATTATATAAAATAAATCCACTTTCTACTGTTATATATTTAAAACAAATACCAAAGAAATTGTTGACATTCTGATTTTTTAGTTTTTATTTGATAGCTGCAATTTTAGTCCTAATCCTACATCTTTTCGCAACAGTGACAATTTATACCAGATGACCTCACAGCTTGAATGCATGACGTGGAATCAAATGAACTTGGGATCCACACTGAAAGGGTAAGGAGCTTTGTTTTCTTCTAACCTGTTGCCCTACTGAAGCTGCATTACTGAGCTAACTTTATCTTGGATTTCTTGAATCCGGTCACTTGCACGAAAAACACACTGTCCGGTCCTGAGGGTGGCTCGTCACCTGGCTGTGGCTTGTTTCTGATGATCCTTGTCCCAGCCTGAGCGGAGGGCCGGGTGCCGGCCGGCCGTGCCCGGCGCTGGGTGTGTCGGGGCTCGGTGGCACCGGGAAGGGCAGGGCAGGGCTGTGCCCGCTCCCGCTGCCCGCGGCCCTCCCGCAGGGGCAGCTGTGGCCGCTTCGCCCTCTGCTCCTTGAGCTGTCTCCCCTTCCCACCATCCCTCTTCCCTTTCCCTGCCTTCGCCGGGCTCCGCGTCCTGTGTCCCGGCCCGGCCGCCTCCCGGCTTCCTTCCTCCCGGCCATTGTCGCCCTCCCACCTGCCGGGAAGAGGCTCCGGCCCGCCTCCCCCGCGGGGCTTCCTGCGGCCGGCCGGGCAGGAAGGCTCCGAGGCGCCGCGGGGCCCCGCCGGGGTGGCGGGCAGCGCTCCGGGGCCGCTGCCTCCATCTCCGCACCCACCCTGCCCGGCGCCGCCCCCGCTTCTGCCGGGGCTGGGGATCCCCGATGCACCCGGGGCCGGAGCATCCTCGCCTCGGCGCATCCGTGAGCGGCAGACGCCTTTTGATTTCAGCCAAGGGAAAGCCACAGGTTGCCTGCTCTGCTCAGAGCGGATAATTCACTGCTCTGAGGAGATAGCTGGCTCTGAAAACTCCCCCACTGAAGGCAGGTATTGCCAGCTTCGAGATGTTCTCAGTGTCCAAGCGTGTGCAATCTCAAGGGAACAGCAGGAGAGGCTGATAAAAGCCTGCACAGATCTGTGCTTTCATGCAGTTGTCCACAGATGTGAAAATCTTGTTCGAGATGGACTTTGTGTACACTGCTGTACTGCGATAAAGGAAAGAAATATTATGGGTCTCCTTTGTAGCTCATAAACCAATGGTGTTTGAAGGTTAGAGGGAGCAGTGTAGTAAACTATCTGCATTGAAGTGAGCAAGGGAGCTGAGCCTGAAGAAATCCGTCAAGGAGGTTTTTTCTGGTTAGAGAAGATCCCCAAATCCTACAGTTGTGTACAGTTCTCTGTCTTTGCTGCCTATCCCCTCTTTTTAAAAGACTATTTCCTACTTTTCTTTCCTAAGTTTTTTTGATTTCCTCTTGAAACAGTACCCTTTAAAGATCAGTCATTGCAATATTAGACACTGTTTTGTCTCTTCTGAAGAAAATATCCTGAAAAAATGGAGAAACACATCAACCTTGACTGAGGTCCAAGTTATTAAAGCAAGGAAGAGGTTATTCTTTGGGGAACTCAGTGAAAAAAAAAAAAAAAAAGTTACAATAGAAATATTAAAGGAGTACTGAACAAAATAAATGGCTTCTAACTTGTCCAGGAGTCAGACTGTTAGCAGTGTAAAGTATGTGACCTAGGATGCATGAAAAGGGGGAAAGAATCAAGATGAATGATCTATGGTAAAACAAAGCTGAAAGTTTTGGTATAGGCCAAGATTGTAGAATCTGTGGAAAATCAGTGCTAGACATAGCCTCATCACTGGTAATATGAGCCAAAATAGTTATCTGTCTTTTCTGGCTGAGAGTTACAATACACAGTACCTCCAATCTCAGTTGCCATGAACATTAGGTATTCTTCCCAAGATTTACATCTTTAAAATATATGAACTGTTCATAAGTGATTCCCAGGCGTTTAGTGTTTCAGATGCTTTTCTCAATCTTGTAGTTGTAATTTAAGAATTTTGGAGTCAATCTTCCTGTTGAAATATGGAGCTCCTAGATTCTGTCCAATGATGACAGTCCTTTTTAGCTCCTTGCCTTCAGTTCTCCCCAGCACTTCTTCCTGGCTTCAGTGAGACTTTTGCACATTGTAAGAAGGAAGAAAACGTTGCCAGTAAGTTCTGCAAATAGTTAGAGAACTCTACAGTTATATAAAGCTTATGGGTGACACACTTTATCCTTGACAGCAGACCAGGTCAGTAGCTTGCTTTTCTGGGTTCCTGTTCAGCACAAGTTTAACAGACTGAAATAAAGCTTTTGCAGTGCAATTTAGGTAGAGCTAGCTGGAAGTTTCTGTGCTGAAGCTGTCTAGCAGTTTATCTGAGAGCATCCTGGTTCTAGCTCTTGTAAAGAGCCAATATTTGAGTGATCAGCTCCAGAATCCTCTCAACCCAGGTTAAAAGTTTGAAATTGGGAAAATATTGCTGTCAGGTGGCCAAAGCTGTGAAAATCATTCCTGCTGAGCTGCAAGCTTATGAACTTGAGTGGCAGCAGCAGCAAGAGCCTGGCATCTGAACTCTTGAGTGGTTTTACCTGCTCAGGGCCTGCTTCAGCCTGTGGCTTTAAGGCCATGGAAGACTATTTTCCATGAGTGCTTTTTTGTTCACGGATATTTTAATACTGGATGCTGGAACTGAGAGCAAGAAGTTTCTAGGTATCAGTGGAGTTTGGTCTGAGTGCTTTCAGTAGGTATAAGCATCAGGAATTTGTGGAAGGCACAGCCTGAGAGGAAGGCAGAGGTGGGCAGTGAAAGGTGTGGAACAGAGATCCTGGCCAACCATTGCTGAATGGTGAAGAGAGACATCTGAAGTGAAATGAGGTGCTGTCTTCTGCCAGAGTACAGCACTGTGACAGACTGGCAGGGCAAGGGGAGAGTGTTGCCAAAAGGGAAGCAGATATAAAAGGCTGCGGCCATGAGTTCTGGGGGTTTCTACTCACTGGCAAACCAAAAGGATGTCTGGTGGGCCAAGATGACTTTCCCTCTGCCAAGAGCTGCCCCTCGAGAAGAAGACAACCCACTACTGCTACCATACACTCCGAGTGACCTGAATCTGCGTTTTAGATTTTCACTTGGGTCCTGAATTCCAAATTGATTGCGCTCTGATTGAACTCAAGTTGCTCTTACAACTCATGTGAGGGAAGAGGAATACTTTGTGAGGTTGTGTGTGTTAATTGTGTTTCTTCTTTGTCCAGGCATCCCTCTGTCACCTTCTGAACTTGGGTGGACGAGAGGGAGGGCTGGCTTGTCTGCAAGCTGTCTCACAAACTGGCAAATTCTAGAATCTGAAAGGAAAGCTTAATAGTTAATGCAGTGAACCTCGCTGTGGGACTGGATTTTATCTCCTCAGACTGTTTGCTGATGATTTGTTCCTCGTTTGTGTTATTTTGTTTGGAGCTGCTGGGATCAGATTTATTCCATTGCAGGAAAGTCAGTGGGTCCCAGACATCTCAAAATTAATGTTCCACATTAGTGGACACTTTTGCCATTGGTTTCTCCTTCGTATTTATGTGTTGCTTTTTAATTTGTCCAATATGAAAACCACTGCTTCCTTCCATAGTGGTTCTAGAGGAAGATCTCAGGGCTATAAAACCTTCCTTTATATTTTGATGAGTTAAGTGTAAAAGTGACATGGAAATAAGTGATACCATGCAGGAAGTGATACAGCATGGTAGACAAGAAGTGTGGCTACATTCCCAACAGCAAGACTCAATGTAGTTTTCTCTTCAGCTGCTTGAATAAAAAGCTTTGATCCATATTTCTAACAGTTGTCTGAAGTCAGGCATAGAACCAGACAACATTTTGGTTTTCCTCTTTTAGTTTTGCTTGGATGTTAAATGCTCAGCATGTTCCATGGAAATTGGTATTTATTGGAAATTGGCTGTTTTCTCAGGCTCACTGTAAGGTATATTAGGTATGATCTCTGTATTAAAACCACATCTGAAACAAGGCAGGGAAAACCTTTCTTGTTTAGGAGTAGTTTGAAAAGGTTTTTCTGTTTAGTTTTGGTGGTATTATTAGTAAAATTTGGAGGTGCAAAACTTTGGTTTCAGCTCTGGGGCGGGGACCAACTCCACAGCTCTGCAATCAGGATGAGCTGGAAATGGGCTATAGCCTCCAATCTCTAATATGGAATTTATCCTTTCCCACTGACAGCTGATGGTCTTATTCTGAAGGGAAGAGTTTGGTGAAATCCTGATTCCACTCAGGTCCATGGTAAAAAATCTCAAACCAAAGTAAGACTATTGAAGGTCCCCTGAAAGTTTAGAGCCTTCTTTTCATTAGCCAGTTGATTCTCCCATTGAGGACAGCAGAAAGGCTCAAATCTGTGAAATTGCATTTTTAATATTCCTTTGCCTTGGAAAGGCAAATACAAATGCAGCTTCTTACTCCACTCTCCATAGTAGTCTTAGACAAAAACCAGGCAGAAACAGGGTCTTCTATATAACTAATCAGGATCTTTTTCTGTCTCCATACATATTTTTCCCAGGGTGCTAAGATGGTAAATATTTTAGCAGAGGGAATTAACTCTACTTCTCTTCCTTTATGTTCTGTTATCAACAGGACTAGCCCACACCCTCACTTTGCCTCATTTTTGGCTCTGTTTCTAAACCCTAAAATTCCTGTTCCTGCAGTGAAACACAATTAAATTGAAGCTTAATGTGGTGCCTGTTTTATGTAATCTTGCTTTCTGGCTTTTTTTTATTCTTCCAAGTCTGAATCTCATGAATCAATGTGTATTCACATTTCATCTGAAATTTTCTAGCTCTCCTCAGTGTGTCCTAAAGCTTCCCTTTTTTGGTTTATGAAATAATAATAAAAAGCTTAACTCTTCAGATTAAGTTGTAGCTGCTTTATACATTGGACAGGCAATTTCAGTTTTACAAAGTAAAAATGGTGTGAGAGAGAAATTGCAGCTTGATTATTTTTTTGAAATATTCAGATTAGAATGTCATCTTTTATGAGCTTTTTTTTTATAACCACTTAGATTGATACAACTCTCTAAAGCTGCTCTGTTTTTCATCACACATTCTCATCTGTAAACCCTTCATTTTTATTAATCTCTGTACAATCTGTACAACTCCGAGATTAATCATTTTAAAAGAGCTACTCTGCGAGTGTTAAGGATTTGCTGGGCTAATGGTAAATGCAAGTTCTTCTAAATACTCTACAGCACAGAGCTCTTCCTTTGTGAGTATCAGCCTTTGTTTCCCAGTTATCTAGAATTACATTTTATGGCTGTGTTTCCAGCTCTGGCTGTCTAGATCCAAAGAACAAAATACACTGAGTCCTATTTTCACCAACTAACCCAAGCTCTAAATATTTACAGTCCATTTCTGGCTTTGAGCAGTTCTGATTGAAGTTAAAGGGAGTTGTATATTTACAAATAATGGCAGAGCTGGACTGTGAGGCCAAATCCTTCAGCCCTTGCTCAGCCAAAAATTTTGTTGGATCCTGGCAGGGCAGTTTGCCTGCATCTGGTCGTGCTTAGTATTGAGTCCTTTTAGGACCTGAGGAGGGATCAGTCTAGTGTCTCTCCTAAGTGTGACTCTGGGCCTTAGTGGGGATTTTTTTCTGGCATTTTTTTTCTTCTTTGGTTAATTCAGCTGAGTTTATTAAGCATTGTCTCTTTGCCTACTTTAACACAGAGTGACTGACTAGAAAAGATGAAAGTTAAGGACTGTGCTACCCTCTGGAGATTTCCATTTAGTTAATGTACTGCAGGTATAAATTCACCAGTCACTTGTATTCCTCGTGTATGTGGCATTGCATTATCTCTTGCATGCAATAAAGCAGGTGTTTGAGTTTAATAATGGATTTAGATTCGTATCTGTTCTCCTATCCCTGCCTTTATTGTAGCATATAAACTGCAGCCATATGAAACAAGCCAACTGTGCCAACTGTGATGTACACTTTGTGGCATAAATCATGGCTAAAGTATGGAGTGAAGAGGCTGGAAGGGAAAGAACTCTATTTCCCCAGGATGTTACCATGGATGCAGAGTGAAGGCTGGACTTCAAGAGAGCAGCCGTGTAGGGAGAGTTTGTGAAAACTCCTCCTTCAGTGTTCCAGTTTCTCACTGACTGGAAGGAATATCCACCTGCTAATTTCTATCTCCCCAAAGGTCAGATTATTCCACAGTGCTCCATAATGAGTAAACAGTGTTTTAACCAAGAAATCTCTCATGATCCATTTTGCTGTCAGCAGCCATATGGCCATGCTGAGTACCAGCCAATGCTGATGGAAATGTGCCCAATGTAAAATAGGAAATAGGGCTCCTGGTTATTAAAGCATCTCTCCTAGGGAGATGGTTAAGGACTTAGAATATTATGGGTCAAGGGGCTCAGAAAGCAGGTTTTGATCTTCATGGCTTTGCAGTTGTATGTGCAGTTTTAGTGAAGTATAGCTAGAAATAAGGGGAGGAAATATGTAAAAGGCTGGTTGCTGAGGAAGGCTTCCTAACTGTTCAACAAAAACTGAGGTGGAGATCTGGAGGATACCTCTCATTCTTACAGCCATTCCTTAGGGCACAGACAGGGTCTTTGTTCTGCCTCTTATTCCCAGGAAGAATTATTTCAGAACTGACTGGTCCTTACAAAAAATATTATCACTGAAAGATAAAAACCATGAGAATTTGGAGGGAAAGTGGGGCTGTGTTTTATGGTATAAGATTTTACTACATATTGCTGCTTCTCCTTACAAAGTTTCTGTCCTGGGAATTCCTATCAGCCTTTGTGTCTGTTGTTTATTGTGGTGTTTAAGGTTGTTAGGACAGGCGTGAAGGGGAGGTCACACTCAGGGTGACCAGTGCTGAAGTTCACATTTACCCTTGATTTACTGCTGTGCTACAGGTCAGCAACAGCTCCTGCTGCAGAATTTCCTCCTTATCAATGGTGGTTCCCATTCCATTCCATTCCTGTTTCAAAGTGCACTGTGTAATTTGTGATCAACATGGGTATCACCATGGGTTGGGGGATTTCGACACCCCTCTTCCCAGCTTTTTTTTTTTTTTTTTTTTTTTTTTTTTTTTTTTTTTTTTTTTTTTTTTTTTACATGTACAGACTTGCTACCTTTAAACAGAGAGGAAAATTTTAATTTGATGTTGGTAGGGAATTGTGCTGATCAAATGGTGATAGCAAATGGCAATTTGTTACTTGAATTAGGTTGCAAAAGACCATCTGTGTGCTCTGAGCAGAGAGGAGACCCTATTTATTTGGGCATAATGCATGTCTACAGTATAGTTTAATCCATTTAAATCAGCTAATCAGATTTAATCCATTTAAATCAGTGTCTTCTTTATCTATTATTACAGATATTTCTACAGAACAGAGATGCTTTCTTGCCACCCCCCATAACTTATTTCATTACGATCACCCTAAAACTGAATTAAAATTGAAATAAGCAGAGCATACCTTCCCAAAAGATGCAGCCTTTGATTTAAACAGGCTGGTGGAGTCAGGATTTGAAGTGAGCACTGTAGGGCAGTGAAGGAGCTGACCTCAGAGAACACCTCAGCCAGGGGCAGCCTGCCAGACGTGCCAGTGGTGAGGGGTGCAGCCCAGCCTGTGCAGGCAGAGCTGCTCAGGCACTGCTCCCCTCCTCTGCAGCCAGGCTCACAAACCCTTTAGGCATGTCCCACATTCCAGCTCCACTGCCTGCTCTGCAAATCACTTAAGAGGTTTAAAACTTCCTTGTAATTCTACTCTGCACATGAACTTTGAGTGAAGGGAAAGGAAGGACCATTGAAATGAGAGTCTGGACCTCAGGGACCCCTTCAAATTGCTATTGCAAGCATTTGGCAAAGACTGGGATAACATCCTACATATCCATCTTTGTCCCTAGCTGTGTGCCCTGGGGTTTTGTTCTGGGCTTTCTAATTTCTGCTGCTGTGCAAAACATGTACACTTACCATTGCCAATGTGTACTTCTACAAGTGATAATGTAACATACTTGCTCAAAAGTTAGACCTAAAATGTGTTTACATGGTTCTGGCATTAGGAAGGCTGCAAACAGGACACACAGAAGTGTCCCAACATTCAGGACAGGAGGAGAACATAGGATTTTGAAGAGCATAATTAGACAAAACATATGGCTGTGGCAACCCCAAAACACACCAAAATTATCAAATTCATAAAACTATTGTGAAAATTTATACCTAGAAGGGATAGGCTATTATTTTTTCTAATTTTATTTTTATAAAGGGTTAATTCGCAGTGTATCCTGCAAGCTGATACATGGGATAAATAGTTTAGACACTGATTTGTAATCTCTGTTTATGAGTACATGACTGCTATTCTTATAAATGTCATCACTTGCTTGGTAGTATCGGGTAATATCTGAGTCATGAGGTGCTGACAAAAATCCACTGCACTTAATGTGAAACTTGAGGCATTTTGCTCATTCCAAAAGATATTAGCAATAGCCAGTCCCACGTTCGACTGATAAATAACGTGAACATGTGCACATGACACCCTTGTGCTGCTATGTGAATTTTTCCCTCTTACCTAAAATCTTTGTGGAAATACATCAGAGTTCAAATCATGGCAATTTCTTTTTTTGTGTTTTTCCTTTTTCCCTGGATGCCTTAATGGATACTAATAGATGTATGTATGGAGTCAGTGCATCGTGCCAGTGGGAGGAGATCCATGTGAATGAAGGCAGAGAAGGTTTCCTTTAATGAATTTGACTTGATCTTGGATATCATGGCTGTGAAAGCAAACTCTGCGTATGTTACCACTGACTTAAGGAAAGAAACCTCTCACGTAGAGCTGAGTACTGAAAAATACTTATTTTTTTTTGTTATTTCCCTTTTTGCTTACAGACACACAGCGGGATATGAAAATGAGAACCACAGTGCTCCCATGTTGTACAGCTGTGGGGCCCAGTACAGAATACACACCCACGGGGTCTTTAGAGGCATACAAGTGAGTATTGTGGGGCATTCTTCACAGGGAAGCAAAACTGCTGCCTGTTTACAGTGTGCACTCACTACTTCACTGCTGTTTGTAAAGCCATCCTTCATTTGTGGCTTTCCCGTGTTGTCAAGAGATGTTTTACACAAGTGTCCTGGCCTCACTGAAGCCATTACACTCTAACATAAGATTTCTTTCTGGCACAGTAATTTAAAACTGCTCATCTCTTCTTCTGAAATATGCCTGCAAGGTAGCATTCCTTTCTGTGCTGACTTACCTTACCAGCTTCTCAGGATGGTCCAAAATGCGTGGGCCAGTTTCCAGCTTCCAGCTCCAATCACTCTGGTCATGTGGAGTCTCTGTGGTCATATCTAATATAGCTACATATCTAATCTAGATCTACAGGACTGTATCTAATAACTACATATATGAAAGTGTCAGATGACATTTTGCTTTTATGTGTTTCTGAAACTTTACTGATTCAAATGTATTTCCTTAAAACTAAATATGTGATTGTTTCTTAATAACTAAGTAATTAGTGAATATTTGGGAGGAACTTACCATTCATGGGAGTTCATTTCCTCCCTTTCTGAGACAGTCATATCATTATTAAATACCCCTGTAAAAGATATGCCTTGTTAAAACTGATGGCAAAGTCATTACAGAGCATCGGTCTCTTCTGTCTTGCTCTGTGTTGTCAACTTACATCTGTGCTTTTAGATAGCATCTTTTCTCCTTTTCTTTTTCTGTGTAGTTTAGCAAGTCATTATTCAGTGTCAAGCTCTCAGAAACAGGGTCCTGAGCTGGTTTTTGCTGGGTGAATAAAAGTAAATGGTTGACTTTGTTTAAGGAAGTTCATTATCCCAGAAGGAGGAGATCGTCTTTGATGGAACATTGTGACAGTGGCCAAAATGCATTAAGGCTGAACTATTCACCAGCTCCACCTAGACAGTTGTTTTTGTTTTGTTGTTAATCAGTTTGTGTTAATCCAAGACATCCATTTCCTTGTCCTGTAGCTTTATATGAGTATTTAAAATAAAAGTGACAATACTCCTCTGGCTCATGCTCTTTCCTCTCACCTTGGTATAAACTTAAAACTATTTTCTGTGGCAATGGGATTTCTGCCATTGTGTGGTTATACATGAGGTCAGTGTGGGCCATTCAGTCTCTCATACAAACACTGGTGAGAGAATTCACTAAGCAGAGCTCACCGTTCTTCACCTTTGGATAATTTTAACGCTCTGCAAAGAACCGATTAAGGCACACTAAGGTTGTTGCTGTAGAATGAAGCAAAATTCCCTGTTTGCAGTACGATCTATCCAAATATCTCTTTGTGCTGAGGAGGTGCTGAGTGACCAGAGTGTGTGAAGCCAAAGCTGAGGGCACCCAGGTGGCCTCAGCAGGTCTCTGTCTCTGCAGGATGTCCGGCGCGTGCCCGGGGTGGCTCCCACCATTGTGCGGTCGGCGAGCGAGACGAACGAGAAGCGTCCCTTCATGTGTGCCTATCCTGGCTGCAACAAGAGATACTTCAAGCTGTCCCACTTGCAGATGCACAGCAGAAAGCACACTGGTGGGTATAAATCATGGCACAGCAGAGTGGGCAGGGTGGGGGTTGAGGTGGCACAAGGGGCAAGAAATGCTCTGCCAGGTCAGGGAGCGCGAGAATCCATCAGATGAGTGAGCGTGTGCTCTGTCACCTGGCACCCCCTCTTTGTCACCTGGCAACCCCTCTTTGTCATCTGGAACCCCTTCTTTGTCACCTGGCACCCCCTCTTTGTCACCTGGCAACCCCTCTTTTGGAGCTGAAGGCTGAAGGATCTAGCTGAGAAAAACACACAGCAAGCAAATCACCTCCCTCCCTCTCTTACTGTTACAGGGCTGTGAGTTATTTTCTCTTTTATTTTTTTTTTCTTCTTTCCCCCCTCCTTTGAGACCATTGAATCTCACTCCAAATCTCATCTAATGTTAATTATGAAGACGTTTCCTCTGCAGGAGGAGCCTAGACATTCAGCATCCTCTGGTTGTCCTGTGTAAACCCTTTCTGGTTTGGGGTGTAGGCAGGGATGGGCAGATAGGTTCCCTGCTATGGGACCTTTCCATGAAGAATTGAGCCTGAAGCCAGTCATTTGTGGCCTAATGTCAAGATTCTCTCTGAGTTCAGGAAATAAGGCCTCAAAGTGTGGAAATCAAATACTCTGCTGCACCTTGCCAAAGAGTAGACACACTTATTTCCCCTGTTGGGAGATTGATAGTGTTGGATGTGTAAAATTATGATATATCTTTAGATAGATCCTTAGGGGTTTTCAATACCTTTTTTTGATTGCCTGTGATATTCTTATTTGAAAGTTCTTTCTGTGCTTACCTAGAAGTCTGTGTATGTAATCTGTAAATATGGATGTTCAATTAACCATTGATGTGATGGAAGACCAAAGGGATGAAAGAGAGCAGGAAGGCAGCCCATGCTGGGTGACCTAGCAGATTGTCTAACATCTCATAAAAGATAGTTGCAACCTTCTCCTTTTGGAGACCATTCAGTCAGTTAATTGTGTAAACTGTGAGAAGTGCACACAAAGCACATTTAATTAATGAATGCGCAGGTCAGAAAATATTGAGACAGCTGTCTTCAGAGCTGCTGAAATTAAAAATTTCAAATACTTTAGACTGCAAGTGCAAGTTCATCTTTAGAAGGGAGGGTCTACAGAAATGCTATTCTATTTTCTATACATAAATTGGAACCAAGAACATTTGGAAATCTTTTGAAGGCCATTAAATTTAGTGTTTTTCTCCATTATGCCAAAACAGTTCTGAAATTTTTCTCACAATCACTATATCCTTCATTCCTAAATTGATTTCCTCTGAGTTTTAGCAGTCATTATTTGTTTGCCATGGTCCTGTATTTTATTCCATTTAGTTGCTTGGCTTTCCCAGTGTTATTTCTGGATCAATCACAAGCTTACATATGTTATGTTTTTTTCCTTAGCTGGAGAAGATTTTCTATATTATATCATATATAATGGAGGCTTGTAGAATCAGAAAACCCCCAAAAGCCATGGGGGTAGGCCTATGTCTGTGTAACACCTCAAGAGGGGTTAAAGGGGTCCCATTGTCTTTGGGGCCATAGAGGTCTCTCCTCTGGCTCAGGATGCAGTGGAAGTGGGTAGAGGAAAACCACTTTTTCCTCCTCAAACACCTTTTCTGTGCAGGTGGGAACAGATCCTCCTGCACACACATTTTGATATGTTGACAGCAAAAATTATTTATTTCTCAAACCTTTGGGAGTTTCTTTCCATAAGAGAGCAGCTTGTTTCCCAAAGCTCGTGTTTGCTGGTGCACTGCTGGAATGAAAATTGCTGGGCGAGCTTGCCTGGCTGAGGAGCTCAGATTTAGGATCAGAAAGAGATTTTCCTTGCATCATCTGGCAGGGTTTTGTCCTCAGCCTGTTGAATGGGTACTGGACATTTCCTATTATTATGGTCTGGGAATTCTGCTTACCAAATTCCCAGCTGCTGTAGAGACTTGGAATATGATGCTCTTAATTTCTTGTCTCCTCCTGTGGTCTGCCAGTCCTAGATTTTGGGAGTGTTTGATGAAGTGTAGGAGCATCTGGATGGAATAACTTCCCAGTTACCATATTTTTCTGGCTACTGGATGTGTGGATGGTCTGGACTTAGTCTGGCCATGAAGGTTTTTCACTGCCAGGTTCTTCAGGAGTCCTGGGCAGCCAAGCCCACTGTTGTAATGCAGATCCATCTCCTTTGCAACTTCATGTGTTTGTCTAACCCTGACTTATTTCTCCGGCATGTTAAAAACAAAATTTTGAACCAGTTTTCTCCAAAAATCATGTGGCTGTGTTACACCTCTCCTCATCAAACAACAACAAAAAAATAATAATCTTCCTGTAAGGTGGTTCTGGACTCACTTATGGGTTGGGGTTCTTTCACCTTATGCTGTCTTAGTGCAGTGGTAGGTCAAAGATTTTGGTCATTTTTTAAATGATGAACACATGATTTGAAAACAAGCTGTTACAATATATATGATATTAAACCAACAGATTGTATCTTTGCAGGATATTGTTGGCTCTAGATTATATTTTTTATTTCTGTAATAGATACATACAAAAGACTGGCTCATCAGATCTTCCAGCCTTCTTTCCCAGTTGCTGTATTGCAAAACCAAGCAAGGCCCTGAAACACAAAATTGGATTCTGTAATCAGTTTTTACCAATGTTTCAAATAGCCTCAGTTGAAAATATGTTAACACTTTGTACCCTCCGAGGCTGCTTATCTGTTCTAACAATGCCTTCATTGAAACATGTACAGCCAAAAAAGCTTTTTTCTTATCTTGGTGTATTTTGGTGCAGCAGATAGGCCTCTGAAAAGAGATGCAGAAATACATCTAACTTTTCAACTTTGCAGCAAATAAGTTGAGTTGTCATTCTGTGGCAGGCTTTAGGCACTTCCTTGCAGAAACAAATTGATGCCTAGACCTCCATAAATTTCACTTCTGGTGGGAGCATCAGCATTCTTGCCAGAGACCCTTTGGGTTCAGTGCCACTCATTGGGAAAACTGGATTTATTCTAACACAAAGCTGAGCAGGTTTGCAGAGAGAAAATCTTCTGCCTGTTTGCCAGGGATATTCTTTAGCCTAAATAGGCTCAGCTGCAGGTATGATCTGCAGTTGAATATAAGAATCTGTAGATCAGGAAGGTTTTATGGTAGGGTGTCAGGCTGTATCCTTTCAGGCTGATATTTCTACAGCATAAAATAAAAATGCTTAGGGATCTAAAATACAAGATTAATTTCAGAATGGTAATGACATGTCACAGCTGAGCTATGTTGTGAAGATGACAGCAAATGTTAACTATAAAGGCTCCCTAGTAAATAAATCAACATGTATTTTGTGTGAGTTTGCTAAAGCAAGTTATATTTAAAAAAAATGTAGGATTAGCAAGGAAAAGTTGTGATCATGGGACTTGTTTGGACTTGTTTGATTTAGTGGGTACACTTATTTAAGAAAAGGGGTTTAAATTGGTGAAGGATGTATAGACCAGCCTTCAGATTCTGATTCCCACTTGCAGTCTCTGGTTTCAGAATTAGCCTCCTTTTCTCATCTGTTTTTGTTAGCAACAGGCTTTTACTCTTGCAGAACTCCTTAATTAAAAGCCATGACTGTGACTATTTTGTGCAACTGCTACAGCAATATAATTTCTGTTTTCCCATGCACCTGAGCAAATGAATTTGCTCCAGAGAAAATGTGCACACTTCCCTTAGTTTAAGTTAACTGCTTTTGACAAAATCAATTTTGTTAGAAACATTTATTGCAATAGGTGCAAAGGCAGATTCACACTTATTTTACAATTCTTGACCTTTTCTTTTAAAAATTATTTGCCTAAATATTCAAGACATGCCATTCCCTCTACCCGCTCTCATCTTTATTATTTCATTATGCCCTTTCTTTTGCATGGCCTCTTTCAGTAGTGTAAGTAATCATGTCTCAGGCAGAAGGGCTGGTGAAGCTCCATCTGCATCTCCTATTTTGTTTTAGGACTGTGTGTGTTCCCATAAGGAGGTGACAGCATTACTGGATATTTTCATACAGAAAGAGACTTTAGCCTTTTACTGAAGGGACTTTGGTAGGGCTGGGGGAATGTGACACTCTCATTGTGGGAATTTCATGGGGTTCTAAGAGACTTTTTCTGATCTGGGATGTTTCTGTCATCCTGTTCTGAGGAAATTTATGGGAGCTCACAGGCATGTGACAGTCAGCTTTGCAGCTGACACAGAAGATATAGAAGGAAAGGGAAATTAGGATTTCTGTATAATGTTACGCCTCATTTTGTTTATTTGCTTTTCAGCTTCTTCCCAGTGTCATCATATCCCTAAGTAAACATTTTAGATTGCTTCCTTTAATATCTGCATGGGTTAAAGCTGACTTTAATTTAATCAAGATCATTTTCCAAAGTAATTAAAGAAATACTTTCATGTGCACGCCATCAGATCCTTTATGCTGTTTTATTCCAATGCCTCCTTAGCCATCTTCTAAGTTTATATTGCAATTAGCAGACAATCATCCTGTCACTGCATTCTGCTCTGCTGACATTCCCCCTCTTAAATCTGCCAAAGGGCCGAATTCCTGGGAAGTAAGTGGTTTCTGAAAAGCAGGCACCCCCCGGGGAGTCCTTGCGGTCAAAGTGTATGGAACTATTTCAAACACCTGTGGCAACTTTAATCTCCTATGCTAATAAATTAGGCACAGCAGACATAGAAATTGTCCACACCTAGGTTTGAGAATCGGGAACTCCTTGGGGTGACCGTCACAGGAAGTTAGCTTGTTCTTGCAGATTTAGTTGCTTTCGTAAAACTTTTATTTTCGCTACACCAGGAGGGATTTTGGGACGCTCTCCTCAATGTGCTGCTTGTTCCCTGTCACCTGGATCAAAAGGCATCTGCTTTAAACTCACCTGGTTGGCTTTGGTGTGTCTCAGAATGCCAGTGCAAGCAGAATGTATTTCCTCACCACATTAGAATCAGACATGCAGACACCTGCAATGGAGGTTAAAATGAAACGGAGAGAAACCAAACCCCCTGCCCGCTCCAGGTGGTGTTTGCCAAGGTGCCACAGGACCTTTGGTTTGCATCTCAGGCAGAGCTGCTCCATGTGTCCCTCCCAGACAGAGCCTAGGATCCTCCCAGCTTTGCAGTTCCACCCCTGCTCCTGCCAAGGCTCTGTGCTGTGCCACTGGAACCAGACTTTCTGTGGGCAAAAATGTCATTTAATGGAATTTAGATTTATTAAGACATTTATTAAATGTAATAAATGTCTGAGGCTTCAGCAGGATTCTGGGGTTGTGCAAAGGGACCTCAGGTTAGGAGTCAGTCAGACGTGGAAGATCATGGAGCTCCTGTAACAGCATAAGGATTGTTTTGCTTTAACTTGCCCAAATTTCACCACCTCTGTGCTCTGCTGGCAGTATTGCCCTATTTCCTCAGTTGCTGCATTTCTTTTTGCATGTTTATGTGAATTCCTTTGCATTGAAATCCATGTTCATTTGAGACATTGGCCTGTGGGGATTTCTTTTTCTAAAAAACTCAGGAGCTTACTTTTCATCCCAGAGAAATCCCACCCTGAGGATCTCTGCTGAACTGCATGGGAGGAGGGGAAGAGTTTATATTTACATGAGGCTTTGCAATAATTCATGGCTTTGTCTGTGGGAGCTGTGCAGTTACGTGAGAAATTCTATTTAATAGCACTTTATGGAAGAAACCTAATTTGTGTTTTGAGGAAAATCATGTATTTTTCTGAGGTTGAAGTTTTTCTTAGTTTTATTCTAATTAATGTGGTTAAACCTGTCACTTGTATGGATGGAGCTTATTTACTTTTTGCTTTAAATTTGGTCCAAACTGAGAGCTGTTCCTCTGTACGGATTATGTGCTACTGAAACAAGTGATGTGAAAGGGCTTAATGGGGTTTTTAGAGAAATATAAACCGAGACATTCCTGTTCTTTTCCAGCAGAGAAAAAAAAAATCCCTTAACCTGAAATTTTTTGCAGCTTTAACCTCTAATTTTCTGAGAGTAAGAAGATTCAGTATCAGTGTCAATGCAGCAGAATTTTGCCAGCCTTTCCAACGGAGTGGATGGCTTTATGATAAATCAGTCCTGGTGTGCCACTGGACTGCTTCAGACTGCAGGGAAGTCTTTCAGAGCTTGAGGTGTTCCCTCATTTTGCCACATTTTCTAAAAAGCTGTTTTTCCTCTCCAGGTGAAAAGCCTTATCAGTGTGATTTTAAAGACTGTGAACGAAGATTTTCTCGTTCAGACCAACTCAAAAGGCACCAAAGACGACACACAGGTTTGTGGACAAGACCTGCCTGTCAATTAGAGTGCGTCTGTTCATGGGAATTGTGATCCTGAAGTGATACTCCTCAACTTGCTACTTTTCTGATGTTGTCTGCTCATAACACCAAATTCTTGAAGTTATTTTTAGGAGAAGGCCACGGCTAGGATTTTTTACCTGGCCTTTTAGCAGTACTGTGGTTGTTTAGGTGACTTTTACATCCTGACACCATCTTTTGAAACAACTTTCATAATGAATCGGTTTGTTCTGTACTCTACGCCCAATTTTAAGAATATATTGTGTTTAAAATGAAACAGTTCTGCAAGAAAAATTTGCCAATGTGTAAAGTTTGCCCAAGACTTATGTGTCATGTATAAATTAGAAATGTGAAGTAAGTTAAACCTATTGGGAGCACATGAAAATAGATTTCTGCACCCTGATTTTTCCTATGTCCTATTTGCTGCTGCAGGATACCTTCAGTGCAAAACCTCGGGTCAGGATTAACAATGTTTGCAGATGATTTAAGTGGGGTTTGTTTATGGTGGAGCTGTTCAGATGCTTCAGACCCAGGCACTGGAAGAGGAGGTTACAAGGGGTGGTGGCCTCATTAATTACTAACTTTCTGTAATAATGTGTAGGCACAGGGATGGGAGGAGCAGTTAGAGAAACTAGAACAAACAAAGAGGAAAAAAATCCAGGCTTTTGAAACTTCAGAAATATCTGATTTCATTTGCTCCAAAAATGTTGGGACATAAGAATGTTGATTTTGTTTTTTTTTTGGTTTTTTTTTTTTTTTTTTTTTTTTTTTTTTTTTTTTTTTTTTTTTTTTTTTTTTTTTTTTTTTGGTGTGAAGCCCTTTCAGTGTAAAACCTGTCAGAGAAAGTTCTCCAGATCTGATCATCTGAAGACTCATACCAGGACTCATACAGGTAAAACAAGTGCGTAAACTTTTCTTCACATTTATATTTCTTTTTTTTTTTTTTAATTTTAAATCAATGTTGTTGTAAATTACATGATTAGAAGGTGTCTTAACCAAGATTTAAATATTCAGAACAGCAGAAAGAATTTCAGTGTGCTGATTTTTCAGTGTGGCTGCTTTCCCCAAGCATGATAGACAGTTTTCACAAAGGGATTTAGGTGATTTTAGAAACTATGCTTTCTTCTTGGTGTTTAAAGAAATTTCAGCTTGGCAAAATAAATTTTGTCAGCTATTATGAAACGAGCATCGTGGTCTCAGCCCACAAATGTCAAGTTGATCTACTGCCTTTACTGAAAGAGCCCTACAAGATAGAAATTTTAATTCTAGCTTTAGCCAAAGGTCTGTAATCTAAAGTATTCGTGCCTACTCATGCTTCTCCCAAGTGTCAGTTGAGCCTAATGCAGGATAGCACAGCAAAGCTCTGCTGCTGCTGCTTGTGCTGTAATCTCTCCAGCAGATAAAAGCAGTGCCTTTTGCAAACTCACACTGACAGACACTAAAGTAAAAGCTTACTCAAATATTCAAGGACCTTTTATATATTTTTTTTTTTTTTGGTAGAAACCGTAGTTTTAATCTAAATACAGGGGGGAAGAAAAAGGGAAGCCATTTTAGTCTACTCTGCCCTCACATAAATGTAAACACCATTAAGGAGCAACTGCAGCAAACTCTGTATTTTAGTTTTAAGTTTTAGAATTAGTCCTGTGTACTGACATCTGCTGTTCCTTCTGCTGTGTATGCAGTGTTTTTACCAAGTAATTGTTTACCAAGCACTTTGGCATGTTGTTGGATGTCACGGCGTTTTCCATACTGGTGTTAACCTTTTAAATTCAGTCTCTGTACAGATGGACAAGGAGCCTGAAAGTCTTTTTCTCCCTGCTAAGAATTCTTTTTTCTCTTCTGGACCATAAAAACACATATTTCAGACTTCCAAAAATAAAAGAGAAATTTTAATAAAGGAAATCATTCACCTGAGAACAGTGGCATTTTCTGTGGCTCTGGCCAAATAAATGCTTCACCCAATGGCCATATCTACACTTGCAATCTGCAAATGGCAAAGGCTGTGCTCCTGGGTTGTCCCCATGGTCCTGTTGAGCTGCAGGGCCTGGGTCTCTGTGCATTTGCATGAAGAAAGATGTTTTCTTAACCAGCAAGAGGTAATGTTCTGGGAGAGACAAAATGGCAAGTGGTTGTAACATGCTGGCAAGCTGGGGTAAACTACATTCTACATCACATTTCACTGCTAACTGATCTGCTAATTCAGGACTTGCATGACTCCGGTCATTTTTTGTAGCCCAGATGAACTACAGTGAAGAATTGGCTCTGTTTTGTGCTAGTGAAGCTCCTCTCCCTGTCCCTGCTCCCCGTGGCTCCCTGGGATCTGAGCCCCACAGTCCTTGCTGTGGTTTGCTGCCTGCCACTGGCACAGCATCTGGGCTGGTGCTGTGGAGCCACTCCTGAAAGCACTTTTGGATGTGTCAGCTCCTGAGGGGGATGAGCACGAGTGGTGGGTGGGGATTTTTCATCCCCACCTTGCTTCACTCCTCTTTCTTTCTCATAGCCCCTGAATGATGTGACAAAGCACCTAGCTCAAGTTAACTTGTTCCACGTTAAATCTTGAGGAAGCAAAGGTGGCTTCCATGCAATTCTATCCTAATTTTAGTCGACTACCAAACTATTTGTTAGGATTCAGGGATTTTTTTTTTTCTTCACAAGCAATTTCACTAAGACAGCAATCTTTGCTGTTGAAAGCAAGAAAAAAAAAATCAAAGGAAGTTTTATCCATCCACAGAAACATTTAGCAATTTAAATGTGCTCCCTGATATCTGTACCATTTTCCCCCAAAATTTTATGCACTCATGGGAGATAGCTGATGCATTTGCCAGCATCTCTGCTAAGTGGATAAATTAGATTTTAGGAATTCCCTTTCACTTAAAATACCTCACATGGGAGTTTGCAAACAGAAATACATATTTATGCAAATCTCCTTTTGTCTGACTTTGGATTATGTTTGTGAAATGCCCGAAGTGTGAGGTAAATAAGAAGAGAAGATGCCTGGGTGAGGTTGAACCACCCCAGTGTGTCTGGAGTGTGTTAGAGAGGATGAGGTGTGTAGACAGCACTGAAGAGCCCAGCCACAGAGCTGAACATACTTTAAAATATTGCATTTATTTTGAGGGAAAAAAAAAAAAGAAGAAGAAGCATGAGTCATGGGGCACTGCTCTGAGCTAATGAAAGCATTCCATCAGCATTCCTGTGGCATCACAAACACAGCCTGAAATTCCACTTACACACTGTAGGAAATCAAGAGACCAGATTCAACAGTTAAAAAGTGGTGGCATTTCTTCTTAAATTTGAATGTGCTTTGCTTGGAGTTATTTGTAGTGAATACTATGCTCATTAAAATGTTAGAAAACTGCTATTTGGAGCATTTGTAATCTCCCATAGATATGAATCCACTTTATTTAAATAGGAGTGGAAAACTTGGAGTCTGGCTCAGCAGACTCCATGCTGAACCCTTTTGCTTCTACCATATTCACTTACACTCAGCAGTTTAAAGAACTTCAGCCAAAACTCATTGAATTAGCTGGAAAAAACTCCCCTTGACTGGAGGTCAAGCTCTAGAAAGTCCCTGACATTTTCCAGGGTGACTAGCAGTGTATCCCACCGCCGCCCGAGGTGTGACTGATGCTTGTGTGCGTGCCAGGGTGGCTTTGAAACTTGCTCCTTTGAGAGCTAAGAGCAGCATGATCCTGGCAGCACGGTGCTCAGCAAGGGCCTGTCCCCAGGAATGAAGCACTGCAAGGTTTTCTGCATGGCCTGGAAAGGCTGCTGGTAAACATCAGCTGAGGCAGAGGTAGGGAGGCACGACCGAGCCAGGGGCTGGGGGCACCCCCACGCCCTCTCAGGACAGCCCGGGGTGCCTTTCCTCCTGCCAGGGGCTCTGCCAGCTCCTCGGGAAGGAAACAAAGAGCAGTGTCTCAGATGAGCTGTATGCTCAGCTAATAACAGGGTGTTTTGTTAACAGGTGAAAAGCCTTTCAGTTGCCGGTGGCCCAGCTGTCAAAAAAAATTTGCCAGGTCTGATGAATTAGTTCGTCACCACAACATGCACCAGAGGAACATGACTAAGCTGCAGTTGGCCCTTTAGACAGTTCAAACAAGTGAAAAAACCAGATGGGACATTATAAGCTACTGCAAGCTTTCTCAGCCATCCTCGATCACCTGTGTCAGAGAGCTGCAGCTGTCTTCGCATCCTATTTGACACAAGTTAACTAACACGTAGGATTCTGCCCAGCCTACCCTTCCATCTGGAGCTGCACAAGCTCCTAGTCAATAAGTTCAAGAGATTTTTGCCTGTGGTTTTGTACCAAAGTAGGCAAGACCGCCACAGTTTCGAGATGACTGTAAACTGTGCTCAACTTTCATGTCTGTCTCCAGCTTTTTTGTGTTATTTTCACTTGAACTTCTCTAGGTACAAATTGCTGTACCTTTTTAATTCCTGCAGTGGGTAGGATGATTCCTCCCTGTTGAAGGTCAGCTCTACACTTACATCACCCCTGCATATGCTGAGGCTTCTGAGTGCTAGTACATCTTTCCTCACAAAACGAAGGAACAGTCACCTGAGATACTTCTGGGAACCTTTGTACTGCCAAAGGGCAGACTTTTTGAGTTGGAAGCTCTGCTTTTGAATTTCACAAATCAAACCTTTTCTAAAAGGTTGTCTTTCTAGAGCAGCTAAAGCCAGATGAACCAGAGCCTCTCTGTACAGAAAATAAGAATCTTACCATTAAGTTAACTTGGTTTTTAAAGAATTGCATAATTGAAACCTTAAAACTGTTTTGTTTGTCGATTAGCTCTCTCCTTTTATCTCTCTCTTTTTAATGTATTGGTTTAAATCTATTCTATCATGAGATACATAGATGTCCTTTACACAAAACTAATTTCAATCATTGTAGACATTTGGGATTTGTTTACAATGTAAAGCCACACTGGTTATGTGGCTAGCGAGCTGTATAAACTTAAAACTGAACTTCTAATGGGGCTGGTCCAGGATCTCCATTAACAGATTTCTCTTAAGATAAGTAACTTAAAAAAGACTCTTTGTCAAGTATATGTGAAAAAGACATTATTAGTGTAAGGAAATATATAATTTCAGGGGTTTGGGAGGAGGGGTTTATTATTTACTTTTAATTGCTTGAAATTGTGTGTATATATATATATCTGATAATGTATTGCTCTTAGACATCTACAATTAGAAAATGTATAAATATTAGAAGCATCACTGTTCTGATGTTGTTGCTGTTACAAACTATTGATAACACTAAAAATGTAACCTGCATTTTTCACTGAGCTTTCAATTAAAGCCCATTCAAAGAGAAACAAATGAGAGTCCAACAGATGTCTTGTTTCATGGTTTCATGCCTGGTATTAAATTTCAAATGCCCTGTCCAATAGTATCCTTTCTTTTTTTCTTTTTTTTTTTTTTTTTTTTTTTTGTTGTATATAAAGGTACCACCAGCACTGATGACCACTAGTTAACCTGTCCAGGTCTTGACCACAATTTATCCATCTCACTTGGGAACCATACTGGCAGCAGAAAACAGTGTCAAGTTTCATATTGTGCTATAAAGCAGTTGCTTCAATCCTTTGTCTTCTTACCCAACCATTCCTTCTCTTTCGACCTGTGAGATTTGTGTAAGGATTTTATAGAACAAGTAAAATCCCATTTATAAATAGCAAAACTGGCCTTCTGTGGAACTGGGCTGAAACCATAAGCACAGATAACTTCTTAGATTAGGATGTCATAGACTGACTTTTAAGTAAAAGTTAATTTAGAGTTGGGGTGGCTTAAATCAGTTCAGCAGGTTGAAAAAGACAGTCTTTCATAGATGATGAAGTGTGAAAATGAAGATAAAGAAATATTACTGTTTCTTTGTCATACTGCCTACTTTTCTTTGGAAGTAAGTACAGCCTGCCTCAGTGCCCTTTGCCCTTGCAAAATATTTGTATCTCTTTAGGAAAAATCTTTAATGTATCTTGCCAAGCTTTTTTCTCTAATGTACACAATGGAGTTCTATGATGGGCTGAGCTTTCTCTCTTAAAGTGCAGCTGCATCGTCAAGAAAACTCAACAGTTAATTCTTCAAGTCCTCTTTTTCGCCTGGGTATTGCATCACTGTTAATTACTGTTGGGGTACTGTGACTCATTTGTATCAGTCAGCTTTATCTTTTGCTGCCAGAAGACAGCATCTCTCTGGAGAAACTCATAACAAGTGTGGCAAACATCAAATATTTGGAGCGAACGGTGCACATCAAGCTGCAGAGAATTAAAAAATAAAGCAACTCCTCCTGCTCTCTTGAAAGAAAAGCTCAGCTGCAATAACAGTGTCCTCTGATTTACCCAGCAGTTCTCGGCAACTACAAAACAATCTGTTTTTCAGCCTGCACCCAAAATAGAGAGCTGCCACGAGTGTTTATACTAAAAGCCAAAAAAAGAAAAAGCAGCCTCTGGTTTTTGCCTGCATCAGTCAAACATAAATAAAACTATCTTCTGTGAAATACAACCAAAACTCCACTGCAGCACAGGCCAGACTTCCAGTGACCTGTAAATAGCTACAGCCATGGCTTGCTGCTTGGGGAATCACATGCCAAATAATAATAGTAGATGGCTACAAAAAATGAAGCGTGGGTTGATGAGTGACAGAGCATGTCCTTTTGCTTTTGCTGTCACCACTTTTTCAGTGGAAGACTTACTGCTACTCTGCTGTTTGATGATCATTACAGCCCCCAGCCTGCCAAGCACAGAGAGGACAATGGTAAATGTTTACAAGATTTTCAAAATTTTTATTCCCAGTTATTTTACAGTGTTTGTTAAGATAGGTGTTTCATGTCTCTGCCTTTCATTTCCCTGTTTTTAGGACTCTATCAGCAAGGTAAGCCACCTTTATGGAAGTGCTTTACTGCATGAATTTCTCAGAAGCAGCCCCCAGATGCTGGCTCTTGCAGCATGCAATTCCTCTTTTTGGGACATGCAGAGATTGATCAGCAGGCCGAGTTTCTCTGAGCTTGACCTCCACATGAGAGATGAGGGGGCTGCACTCTATTATATCTTACAAGTATCCTCAGTTTTCCAATTTCTGGAAAAATTTCAATCCCACAATTAATTGAGCAAATCTTTTATGCTTCTGCCCTGTGTTCTTAAACTGAAAATGGTGACTGATGTTGTTTTGGCTGATGGTCGATGTCTCAGTGGGATTGGCACACTCCTCCTGTCCCATAGCTTCTGTAGCCCCCCACAAATGGAGAATGCTCCTTATATAGACAACATTTCTCCTTTTTCCTGCCACTTCATGAGATACAATATGTTGGGTAGGAAAGGGAATGTGATCTCCTCCCTCTCTGATGGTGTCAACTGGAATTCAAGAGTTGACTTGGACCAATATTTTTGAGGTAGGTGAATCCAGCAAAGTGTCTGTCTGCTTTAGGAAAGCATGAGAGTGAACCTGCCTGGGCTGTAGCCACAGGATCTGTTTAGGATGTGCTTCTGGTGCATGTCTTTGTGGCTATGGACTGTGCTGACCAAGCAGGAGGTTGCTTCAGTTAGGGAACCCACCTGGAGGCAACCATCCTTCAGACAGGTGATGGTTCCTGTAAGGGAAGGGGGACGTGTAAAGAAGTAGCTCTT